GAGGCCCCTGGTTGTTCAGCAGAAATGTAGGAGCCACTCAGGAGCGCTAAAGTCAAAATGAAAGCCGTACGCATTGCTAAAATGGTCTGCTCATAGGTCACCGGGTCAGAAGGATTGAAGCCAGCTGGAAACATCTTGCTCCGCAATCTCGGGCGCCGTAAAGTGCCAAATGACCAGCACGGCGGCCCAGCGTGCCACTCCTTCACCTTTCCAGATGCAGCTAAAGCAGCCGTCTTCCGAAAGGTGACTGGGTCCATCAAATCACCAAAGCTCACACCAGTAGCACCACGCTCAATGCCAGGATGCACTCGAAAACCTTCAGCAGCATGTGCCTTACTCCAGTTACCGGAGCCAGAGAACAGCTCAATGCAGTCGAAGGTCACATCTTCGACACCGGGCCACAGAGGTGCCGGTGAGAGACTCACAGCAAAGTCCACAGTCTGCTCGCTGGGAGGACCAAAGGTTTCCTCATGGTCCAGGCCCTTTTCATGCAGCACTTCACGCGCTCCATGTTGAAGCGCGGTATAGTAACCTCTCTGCTCTGTATGACGCCACATCTCTTCGGCAGCAAAAGCGCCCACACGTGTTCTGCAGAGCGCGCCACCAAAAGGACTAGCATCCATCATGAAAACATCCTCAGTGACTGACACCCGAAGATCCGCTTGAATCAGAGGACCAAGCAGTAACAGCGCAAGCAGCTCATTCACCGCCATCGCGCTCAGCTAAAAAGGTTGGTGAATTGGCAAGCCGACCCCCTCATGAAAAACTTGTTCCAGCACTGCAAAAGTAGGACGCCTGAATAAACATACATGAATCCAACATCCCAACAAACATTGCAGTATTTTCCTGGTTGCACAACGCTTGATCACAACGAAACTGGTGAGTAGCATGAGGAGTGCAACCCTGTTTCGTGGAGCCGAACATCTGCCAGCAATACCATCAATTTCAGCACCAAGGACTGTGGCAGAGAAAACGCGACGCTGCTTCTTGCCAGGGTGGGCTACCAAACCCACTGTGTTATACGCCAACTCAGCCCTAGCAAACACTTCCAAATCCCGGTCATTTTTGGCAGGATCCCACCTTGGAGTACATGACAGCTTGTGAAGACCTATATGATCATCTATAGTCAGAAGTTCATAAAAGGGACCACGAGGAATGGGATGTCTATATTGTAAAATCTCATCCGGCCTCATACTGTCAGCTATTGTACGCAGTAGGTTAAAGTGTGATTGCTGTGCTATCTCCACTGCAAGGCTGTCACCCATCGCAAGTGTACGCAGGCAAATGTAAACAGACTGGTCTGCATACTGAGGGTCATAGCATGAAAAACCTTCAAACTCTTTTCCCAGAAAAACAGTGCCAATCGCATTCCTTGCAGCTCTTTGGGGGGAAACACGGAAAGTATAGTAAAACTCACAAAGGTCATCAGAGGAAATTGCAAGACACTCATCCGCATGCAGCCGTATCAAGCCAATAAGATGCCCAGGAGCTAAAGTCTTTGTATACGTATTGCAACCATACATCCGAGAGTTTACCACTGTAGGATTGACGATAAGCCGGTCATACTCACTGTCTTTGTTAACAGCAAATAACCCTACTGCTTCATCTTCAGGTACACAATGCACAGGAATAAGGGCGCAGGCGCCCAGCTTGTCCCACTTTTCCGCCAGCTTCTTCAGTTCAGCTCGGTCGCAATGCACTCGCGCTCTCCGCTTGGCTGGCCAGTCAGTTGCAGGTTTACGCAAGACATCAGGGTCTTTGAAAGCAGCTTGAACAACAGGATCAACCAAAAAAGGCTCAGGGTTGAAAGTGGGTCCTAGCTTCCATTTGATGCGCTCCGCAATGACTGGCTTTGCTGGAGAAACACTCAGCGGAACATCTACACCAAGCTGACGGTTTTGATCTGGAACTGGTTCACCAGAAGCATCATGGTGAGTTTGCTGGTCAGGGGCAGCTGCTGTACTGCTGTATGGATCAAAATCCCGGTGAATCATATCTAAAAAACTTGCCATCTCATCCCAACTGATGTCTGGAACAGTGGAAGGGAGTTGGATTACTGCATCACAAATTTTGCTCAGCTTTTCCCCTGCCCGGCCTAGCTCGGCCGCAGCTACGGGTTCTGCAAGAAGAAAATAGCCCACCAGGCTCTCCAGACGCTCAATCATGGCATGCTGCTGATCACTGATTTTGGCACCCAACTCGCACACAGTTGAGGGGTATTTTGGGTACCCCAAACTAAGCCAATTGAGAACAATGATGACAACTTGCAACAACTTCGCCCTGGTCTCTAAAAACTTCCTTCTCTTGCGACGCCCGGGGGAGAGCTTAGCTGGGCCCGTCCATCGCCACAGCGGTGGGGGACAGGGCCATAAATCGGCAGAAGTACAACTGCCGCAAACATGGCGAGGAGCTGATGACTTCCTGCGAAAAAGACTTCGACGCAGGAACTCACCTAAGCCAGAATGACTCTGGCCAACTAACTGCAAGACCACCCGCATGATTTCAATGCACTGAATTGTTGCAGGCACTTCAAAGTCAGACAGCAACTTCGTACTGCCCGAATGCATCCCACAAAGGTCATCATGGGATAACAGCTCTGGGTGCACTGCCTCAGACTTCAGCTCGGAGCTGTAGTGGCCTCTTCGCCGGCTGGGCTGGGAGACCCCTTTCCTTTTCCCTTGCCTTTCCTTTTTGGCTTTGGTGTCACCTCGGTCTTTTCGTCCCCCTGAGGAGAAGCTTTGGTTTGCTTTCCAGCTGCTTGGATCCGTCCTTCCAAAAAGTCCAGATCCTTCAGGTAAGACACATTGGCTGCCACTGCAGTCGCCGATGTCAGTTTGGAGAAAGGTTGCAACTGAGCTCTCTGCTTGTTCCTCTGGCAAACTTGATAGTTTGGCTCCGGCAGGCCTGTCAAAAGCCATGCTAATTGAGTACGGCCTGCATCTATCGACGCCTGATCCACAAACGTCATGCCCTTCATTGCAAAGCCCTGCAGCTCCCGATTTCCAGATCGCGCTCCTACCTCGTAAGCATGGCACATCAGATACCCCATCATAGTAAGCAGCCGATGATCGCCCAGAGGTATGCGCCTTTCCATGTAATCCTGGAGGAGGCCTGGTGTTAACCCGGCTGGCGCTTGGAGACCGAGGTCGGTCAGAATCTGCTGCTCCCCCACACTGGCTAGTCGAGGAAGATCTTGGCTCATCTTCAAAAAGGCATCCCGCGCCAGACAGCCGCGGACTCCTGAGCTTGAACTGCCGCTTGCATCGGAGCCCCCCAGAGCTTTCTGAATTGGGTCCAGGTTCTTGGCTGTGAGATGCTTTGACAACATGCTCAGCTGCTGCGTCTGTAGTACCAGAAGGCGCTGCATAGGATCCTGCACCTCTTCCAGCGTAGTAGCCAGAGCTTCGTGCAGCTCGTCCTCCTCTGTAGCCCCCAGCATCTCCTCTTGCAGAGCATTGTCGAACGCCACCTCCGGCCGTTCTGCGCGAGCAGTACGTTCGTGAGCGCCAAGACGTCCTGGCCCAGAACCTGCCAATGCTCGCAATCTTTGAAGCACCTGAGCATCCGCTGGTTGAGACGGAGAAGAAAGCAGCTGCAAACCACCAGCCTTTGGAGTAGCATGGAGAGCGGCACTGCCTTGGAGAGTCCCCAGGCGAGTCTCTAGCTCGAGGATACGCTGCTGCATTTGAAGCACAGCATCCTGCTCCACGGTTCCACCGTGCGGCGGAGCGGCCGAATCTGGAGGTTCTGCAAAACCCTCTAAGCCGCTGTCGCCGGTCACATAGTCTCCAGCGGTGTCGTCGTCCATGGCATCGTGGATCCAAGCATCTGCGGCCGCCATCACCGCCTCCGCGGATGGTCTGCCCGCGCTTTGCCCCACATAGAAGCGATGCACAGTTTCTACTTCGTCGCCACGAAGGGGCGACCATCGGGTGAAAGAAGAAACGTGATCCCAAGTTGCATCCACCAACACTGCATTCTCTTCTGAGGTGCGTTTGCCACGAGGAAGCTCCACGGTGACGGTGCAAGTCCTGCATCCAAACACATCTTCCTGAGCAGTGACAAAGTCGGTCACCTCTGGAACGTCGGGCACCAAAAACATGAAGCCGCCAGACCGACATTTCACCAAATAAGCCACAGACTTGAACAAAACTGTGTCCCCCTCAACTGGGCAGAAGAGGACTGGGGCTAATGCTGAATAGCCAGCCGCTGATACCCCAAGCAGCGACCGCACTCCCTTCTCACTCAAACGCTTGCCTGGTACTCCGGCGGCCATGAGCAACCGGCGCCCAGAACGTAAGCAGAAGCTTCAGCACGGCTAGCAAAGGCGTGCGACACACTGTCACGATGGAACCTCTCGCCAGCACTGCCCCGCACCTTGGAGACGTAGATGTTGTAGGATGTAGTCCACCCAGATGCGTGAGGCGGGGCCGCTCGAAGTACCACGTAGGTCCGATTCTGCACAGCCAACCTGGGAGATTCACACACTGCAGTCGACTCGCCGCTCAGACGAATGCGGGCTGCAACACCAGCTCTCAAGCCACGTCCCAACCTGGCTAATGGAGACCACTCACCACAAGCACTGAGGCGAGGCACCCAAGATTCCAGCGGAGACAAATCAAGGTCCAGCAGCTGCTCAGGAGTGCAGGCGCCCACCAACTCAGCGCGCCACTGAGAAGACCAAGGCTCAGCTCGTTCGCCTTCAGGACCAGGATCACTGCCTGATGGCACAGTCCAACTAGAGTCAGACCTGGCAGGCCCAGAGGACCTAGCAAGGGATGCTCCTTGTGGCGAGTGACCAAACCCTGAACCTAAACCAGTTGACCTGGGTGGTGAAGAAAGCTGTGTGCTATCAGAATTTCTCTTCACAGAAATCGTGAGCCCTTCAAACTGAAATAAGATCTCAGCAACGTCAGACTCCTGGCTCATGCGGTATGAGTCCGATAACCAGCCAGTCGAATGCGCAGATCTTGACCCCCAGGCCCAGGAGCTGGTGCAATCAGGCCTATGATGCTATGCAATGCGAGCACCAAAAGTCGCCGGCAGGAAGGACTCAGCACCAGCACTGCTAAGAACCCACCAGTTTGTAAGCCAAGGAACCAGGCCAATCCACTGACCAGCAGGAGCAAGGGGAGAGAGATCAGGCAATCGTTGGTATGCCAAAAGCGCAGCTCGCGAAGGAAATCCAAGGGCCACGTATGCATACAGCTTGAGTCCGAAATCTTGCAGCCATGGTGCTCTCATGGTGAAAATTGGATAACAGGCATATGTGCACATTGACGGATTTTTTGAAGTTATTAGTATCGTTGGATATCCCAAGAAGAATTGCGAAGGATGGCAAATGTGATCAGAGTTGGAAGTAATTTGGCTTGTCTCTTCACTAGTTGATCGATATCTGTTTGGCTCCATGGTATCCTGTTGTGTGACCGTACCCATATTCAGCCAGGCCAAAAATATCCTAGCGGTCCCAGCTAAAGTGCACAGCAAAGAGCACCCCTATTGATTGGACGATGCTGCCCATCTGAAGCCACATCAGTGTAGGTCCTGTAGTACTGGCTCCTCAATGTTTCCTAGCAACCCCAAAGACTTTGATTGATGTCTCCATGTCCAAAATCACAAAAGAACTGCTAGTCCAAGCCACGTTGACCCGACCCATAGATCCGCGGCTTTTCCGCCTCCAATTCATCTGCCAACAGCTCAATATTGCAATGTAGCTTCCTGCCGTGATTACATGGCACCTTCCCGCAGCCGTTTCCATGTGTCAAACCCCTTGGGATTCTGTGACCATCCCCGACTAATGGGCCTGAAATACATGATCCAATCACTGATCGTAGTCCTCTTGCTTGTGAAAAAAGGCTCACCCCTTCTTTTACCATCGACCATCCAGTGAATTTGGGAAAATATGTGTATTAGCCATTCCAGTGACTTCAACTCTCCTATATCTTGTTACTCAATTCCCGCAATTGTTGCTGCAAAGGTGGATGTGTGCAAAAATCGGCTGCCCCAAAATCCCCTGGTTTCTCCGCCTTCCCAAAAAAAAAACAGCCATTTGGGGGATCCCATTTTCAGACAGCAAATCAATTTCCAACCCAGAAAGCTCCACCCATTCGCTGCCGCTCCTTTCGCAGTCTCCATTCATAAAGCGAGCAAAGACTGCTTGGTCGTCTGGCTGGAAGGACAGCACTTCCTGGCTTTGGATGTGACACAAAAATCGGGGCTTTGCCAACCAAACCCAGGGCTTAAACTAATTGAAAATTCAGTTTCAAAACAGCCAGCTTTCGGATTTGGCCAGCAAAAGTCAAGTAGTTTTAACATGTTTTAACGTTATACCAACGCAGAGAAGGGGACATGAGGGGTTCACCCCCTGTTCTGCAATGTTCTGCAAGGATCATGTGAATTGATCCCACACCGGATTTAAGGCCAAACTGATGCCTCTCCCGGTCTTAGTCGATTGCTGGGTCGTTCACTCGTTCACCAGTTCAAATGAGATCATCACCCCTCACATGGGTCATAATGAAGAAATATAATGTGAAATGTGGTGCAGTAGACTTCAGGCTTTGTTCAGGGTAGTCCCTAACTCAAAATGTTGCTGAAAAATTGAATCTGATATTTGGTTTCAACTGATTTCTGGAGGGCTCACCAAGCATTTTTCCGGGTCAGGCACCACCCCACCTGTGGCACGGAGAAGGGAGCCACATTTTGCTCCTGTCAAACCAACGCCAAATTTTGGGCGTCTTTTGGCCGAAAAAAATTGAGTCTTTCCGTCTGAAATATTGGAACCATTTATAGTAACGCCCCAAAAAAATGAAATATGATTGACCACGACTTTAGTAGAAAATTAATTGTTCTATCTTTTTCGGGGGGTGCTACAATATGCCAAAATCTGGCCCACTGACCAACCCCAAAGTTGTCTTTGGTATGTATATAGTGGTTTTGGGGAAGAAGTCCAATCAAAGAAATAGGAACAAATTTCTTGGCACATAATCCGGGTACCGCAATCAAGATTCCTCGCTGCAAACGGACATACCGATGGCATGTGCAGGCCCCTTCCTTTCCTTTCCATATGTTTCTTCTCTTGTCTTTGTTTTCCGTCTATATGTTTGTTGTTTCCCTGATTTTGTCCGAGACAAATCAAGAGTTGAAGACTTCCCGAGGCAATTTTTTAATCACCAATTTTCTGACACCCAAAATGTCCTTTAAAAATACCGTAAAATTGGGCAACACCTCGGAATGGTTTCGAAGTTCAACCGCTAACATCAAAAGGTATCCAGTGATGATTTGTGCGGCGCAAGGTACACCAGCATGCTGTGCCATTGATGTCAGAATGTCTGGGGTTCCTGAGATTGACAATAGGATCAGGATTTCAACCCCAGGAAACCACAAAAAAAAACATGGGTTTTCGTTTAAAAGATTCAGTGGTCATGTTTATCCATCATTTCAACTCTAACTCCCGTGTGGCAATGACAATTTAACACGATTAAGGAAAACGGTCCATGTGGATAAACGATTTACTTAAAAGCGCAGCTTTGTTGACAGAGGGAATTCCCCTGCGACTTTCAGCCTAATGAGATGATGGTCAAGGAACGAATGAACGCTTAGCTGACGAAATGTGACTAAATTGGGGAGGCCGTGGTGCCTAGTTGATCAAATTTCTGCGAACCTAATGGAAGCTGTTGACACCTTTCATGCAAAGACTTGCGCACCGGAGCTTCTGCATACAGGCGCCCGGGTAGGTTAAGTTTGCGCACGTGATCCCCGCTGAGAGTTCATCCCACGGAATGAAATTTAATGCACTTCTTGTCCGCTCTGTTTTTGTTCATCCCGAAAAGGTCTGGCGCTGCAAACGCTGACAGTTTGCAGTCCTTTCCACGGGACAGAGAACGGGGCACCCATGGAAAATAGCACGTTCAAGTGCTCTCGTGGCCGACAGGGTGCAGGGTAGGACGTATATATATATATATTCATATACATTTTTTAAATGTGTATATATGATATATACACATATACACATATACACATGTGTATGTGTATATCTATATAGATACATGTGTATGTTCAAATGTCTATGTATATGTATATATACCCACTATGTATCTATGTATGTATGTAATGTAATGTAATGTAATGAAATGTAATGTAATGTACTGTAATGAAATGTAATGTAATGTACTGTAATGTAATGTAATGTATCTATGTATCTATGTATCTATGTATCTATGTATCTATGTATCTATGTATCTATGTTTCTATGTTTCTATGTTTCTATGTATCTATGTATCTATGTATCTATGTATCTATCTATGTATGTATGTCTGGTAATGTAATGTAATGTAATGTAATGTAATGCAATGTATGGTAATGTAATGTAATGTCATGTAATGTAATATAATGTAATGTAATGAAATGTAATGTAATGTAATGTAATGTATGTAATGTATGTATGTAATGTATTGTACGGTAATGTAATGTAATGCAATGTATTGTAATGTTATGTTATGTTATGTTATGTATGAAATGTATGCAATGTATGTAATGCATGTAATGTATGTAATGTATGTAAGGTATGCAATGTATGTAATGTATGTAATGTATGTAATGTATGTAATGTATGTAATGTCATGTATGTAATGTAATGTAATGAAATGTAATGTAATGCAATGTATGGTAATGTAATGTAATGTCATGTAATGTAATATAATGTAATGTAATGAAATGTAATGTAATGCAATGTATGGTAATGTAATGTAATGTCATGTAATGTAATATAATGTAATGTAATGAAATGTAATGTAATGTAATGCAATGTATGGTAATGTAATGTAATGTAATGTAATGTAATGTATGTAATGTATGTAATGTATGTAACGTAATGTAATGTAATGTAATGAAATGTAATGTAATGTATGGTAATTTAATGTAATGTAATGTAATTTAGTGTAATGTAATGTAATGTATGTAATGTATGTACATTTGTATATTTATAAAATTGTATATATATATATACAAATATTATATTCCAGTTGTAATGGGTCATAACTGAGTTGCAAACGACGAACCGGGCCATCCTGGCGTCCAAAAACAATTCCTGTCCTCGACTTCGATGGAGCGATTCTCTGGGAGAACGCGAAAGCCATTCCTCGGAGGGGCACATAACTTGGCGAACGGTTGACGTTTGGGTTTATGGGTGATATGCAGTGTATATATATATTGATATAACTATAGTTCATGGCTTTACCAACTTACAACTGGGGCCTTACATTGAAAGAAAATAGCGATCTGTTTTCAGTCCGAGTACTAGAAAACTAAGGATTCTGAGCATGACAACAACCCATGCCCAACAAGTTGTTCTCTATTTATATAGTGTTCTTTGCTAATTCCGAGTAACAAATGTCAAACCCCGCAGCAAAAAAGTGTTTCGGAAAATTTGCTGGGTACGGTTTTCAATCCAATGGTGAGTGGATAAACTGACTATGCTTTGCGGCATTGGCTTTACCAATGGGAACCCTGTAGACTTGACCCTAATACCATGCACGTGTGATCAAGCCTCAATAAAACCAGTGAAAAACCACCGTCCAGAAATCGAACTTGGCAATGTGAAAACCCCGATCTTTGCACAATTACCAGCTTAAACTACCGAAAGGTAAGTGGCAAGACATAAGACTCAGAGATTGAAACTTAACAGTCACTGCTGTTGTCAATTACAGATGCAATCAAATGCAATCATCTATATATATACACAGTATATATATATAAACCCCAAGAAGACAGAAAAATCAACTCGCACTAAAATAGAAGCCTATCTTGGATTACTTCAAAGCAGGGACCATCATATATGTGTACATATAATACATAAATATAATATTATATTATATATATATATCCATATAATATATTATGATTTTTCTAGTTTCATCTATATTCATATATAAGACTATATATGTTCATCTATTTTCATCTATGTTCATCTATTTTCATCTATGTTCATCTATTATCATTGTATATATATATGAAATAGTATCTATATAACTAATATATCTATATATCTATATATATATATACATCTATATATATATTATAAACTATATATATATAATATGTGTAATACCAAATAGGAAAACACTAAAAATCGGCAAGGCACGCCACCGGAGCCTCGATGTCCTCGGCAGATCGCTCCGCGGCCTTCGTTACGCGCGGTCAATTGGGATTGGAAAAATACTGGGATTCAACAATCATACAGATATTATCATGATTTATCATGTATATATATATATACAAATATATATATATATATACAAATATATATATATATACAAATATATAGAATTTTATAGAGATTTAAAAGAAGATGAATTTGACCAGCAAACATTACAATTTCACCGAGGAGACATCGGATTGCACCAAGAAAAAATGCGATGCTTACCGAAATAAATATACAAGTAGCACAAATCTAAGTTTCAACAATTTGAAAGGATTTGGCTTCGGTCTAACCTGGCAACGGAAAATCACCCATGAAATCAATAACAGATTTACTTTCAATCACTTCGACAAAATTTGATCATATTGAGAATTGAGGGCTTTCCGTCGAGCCATGGTTGATTGACAGAGGCTAACCAACTCAAACGTGCGAAGTACCGATCAACAACTGAGTTACTGACAAACACTGGGAGATCTTCAAGAAAATGGGGAGTCAGGAAAAAAACACCTTGGGATCTAGTTGTGGATTTCAGCGCTAGTTGGGAATTGGTCTGATTAAGCCATCAAATTGTGCGGTTTTTACCTACCAAAAAAATAAACAGAAAAAGGACACAGAAGGTTGGGATACAACTTGATGTAGAAAGATTTTGTCAACGAAAAATGGAACCATATGGAACCATTACCGGGAGGAAGTGAAAATGACATGGATGTCATGGGCTGAAGATTTGACAAACAGCCGCTGCAGTTTTATCCATGGACGAGACTTGACCACAGATGGAGGACCACTGGAAAATGACCATGAAGGAAATGGATGGGAAATGGGATTCCAACTTAGGATATCGGGCGTCGGGCTGAAGTGATTTCCCAAAAGGGGAAAGAGATTCATGGTCGGGCGTCGGGCCAAATAATTCATCTTCAGTAGACAACCCCCATGAAGATGTTGACGTTAGTGAAGATTTGATCTATTTCATGACGGTTACCAACTTCCCATCTGAGGGTCGCGAGGGTGACTACCCAAAAAGGTTTACGGTTTCGACCTTAGTTTTTGATACAGATCATTCAGTTGCAATATGGCAACTGAATGATCTGAATCTCAACTATAGATTAAAGATCATTAAAGCACCATCAAATGGTAACAATCAAAAAAGAACATAACATAAAAACAATGTTACAATGAAAATAGTAATAATAGGGTTGACCGTTTTATTGCACCATGTATGTATATATACATATATATCATATTTTACCTGCAACTATTGGTTGTGGGTGACCCATGGCTGGCTCGGCCTGTGCTCGGCTATGTAGCGAATTGGTCGAAGCCGTAGAGGGCCTAAATATGTGACCCAGGACCCATGGAATTTCATTGAGAAGTTGGAGATTTGACCTGCCAGGATTGAAGCCCAAAAAGTTCGGAAGTCTGCACGAAAAGATCTAAATTCAACCAAACGAAGTAGAATTGAACCAGCCAGGATTGTATTGCAGTAACTGAAAGAGACTGAGAATCGGCAAGCAAAAATATGGGAACAGAACTGATCGAACCAACTTCAAGAGGCTTCACTTAGCCGAGCCAACAGTAACATGTAACAACTGTTCCCAGCTCACCCGATGTCGCACCGGACATCACCCGATGAAACCACCCATTCGATATTCGTTGGTGCTCTGCGCTGAAAACGGCAATTTGGAGCACAGTTTGCTGGAAGAACCTTGAAGATTGCTATGATTCCCAAAATGCGTCGTAACCCTAAGGGCCACCATGAACCAAACGGATTTCGTAACCGGATAACTAGCCCGTATCAAACAAGGGCGACATAAACAATATCATCAACCATATGGACGGATGCACATCTACCATATAATTACCTATATGGATTTCTGCGTCATTCACTGAGGACACTACCACGGCGGAAAGCCCATTTCCCGCGACGGTTCGTTTCACGAACGCGGCCGTTCCCGCGAACGCGACGCGCGGCCGCGGCCGCGGTTCGCTTCTTGGTGTTTTGCTTGGCAAATGGCAGGCGGACAAGAGGTGCACAAGTTTCGTCATACTTTTGGGTCGTAATCCTGACATTGACCAACTGACAATTTACACTTGGCATATCCTGGCACCGTCCTGTTGAGGGAACTACCAACCATATGCCATAAGTGCTTCGGTGCAGGACTGCTTGGTTGAGATCTTCACTTTTTACCAACAGATCCATATAATACAGTAGCACTTTCTTAACATTGGGACGCAAAAAACGGCGGCCACAGTGTGTCATAGTCAGGAAGGAATCCCATGCCCAGTCAGAGAAACCCCACATCCCAAGATCATTGTTGGTGAACAGCCACCTGTTCATGGGTTGAATTCCCAAATTTGATGCTTTGGGAATCAAACCACAACACATGCCGAGGACCGCTCAGAGTTTGGAGATTTATTGAAGCAACCGACGTCTGGGATGTTGCCTGACATTAGCTAGCAATGTATTTGGTCATATGTTCCGCCTTCCTCTTTTTCCATGCAACTAAAAACTACCGCCAGCCATTGGCCATTGGTGTTGATAACCATGGTAATCAACCCATTTGCCAACCAGGAAGACTGCCATTTGAAAAGAAAAAAAAGATTGTCCAAACCATTTACAGAGGATGTTGTATAAAAACAGGAAATCATGATCACGTAGCGTAACAATGCCTAACAGATTCAATCGCTGGCACTCGATTCATCTGTCATATCCAGTTCCTTGGGCTGATCTGGTACCTCGAGGACTTGACCCAGATTCATCTGGTGGCCATTAGCCCTCTATATCAATCACCATATTCAATCAGATATGAATCAGATATGTATGTGTATATATATATTTATGTATATATATGTGTGTATGTGTATATATATATATATACATATATAGTCATCCTGAAGTAGATAGAATATGGGAAATTTTCAAAAAGGAATTTTTCAAAAAAAAAATAAATAGTTGGAATATTTTCAAAACCCTCAGTTTTTACACGTTTTTCGTCTTTGTTAAGTCATTTTTAACCAGTTTTGGACACGGGTCTGGGGAAATTTTGAAAAATACAAAAATCAAACAACACCAAAAAATAGATAGAATATTGTTTCAAACCAGGTAGATAGAATAATTTGAGGGAATTGTGAACACCACGCGCAGACCCCACAGCAGCTTGAGACTGTTTTTCCACAGGATATTCCACCATATTCCACCTACCTACCCCTCCAAACCATATTCCAACTACCAGTTTTCGACCTCCCCGGGGGGGGTCGAAATATTCCAACTACCTGTTTTTTTTTTTAGTGGCCGACATCCAACATAATTCCAACATAAATCCCGCACCCTCCAAAAAAATATTCTATCTACTTAAGGATCACTATACATATATACATATATACATATATACATATATATGTATACATATATGTATATGTCCCCATTCAACACCATATTATAAATGTATAGATAAGTCTTGTTCAATGCCCATTGTTGATGATGTTTCATCATTTTTAATGGTAAACTCATAATTTAACACATCCTCTATTTTGTCCCATCATATCCCATTCTATCCCGTTTTATCATATCATATTCCCATATTTTGTTTGTTATATCTCCCCAGGATTGGCAGCCCAACTCAATCCCTAGGTGGTGATATCTCCATGTTTTTGGTTTGCCACGCCTCTTCGGGCACCTGAGTACGCTCGGTAGAAGTTCTGGGAAGAGGGACCCCCTGATTGTGGTTTACAGAAACTGACATCCACATGCAAAGAATGAGGGTTCTCCCACATGCCTAAACGAACCCAATTACACCATATTGGCATATACATATAAATATAAATAAACATATACATATACATATAGCCTCCTCCCCGCTCTTGGAACCGCGCAAACCTGAATTAGGTTGGTAAAACTTGTCCATTCCGTGACGAAATTTAGTCGCGGAATTAACAAGTTTCATTAGGGTCATCATCATCATCATCATCACATCATCATCATCATCATCATCATGATCCTCATCATCCCCCCCCCCCGCGTGTGCGTAGCATCAACTGCTTCTGCAAGTTCACATGAACGTTAACATCCCACCCCACCCCCCCCCCGCGTGTGCGTAGCATCAACTGCTCTGCGCACAGTTCAACGTTAATTCACATGAACGTTAACATCCCACGTTAATTCACATGAACGTTAACATCCCACCCCACCCCCCCACCCCATCGTATGTGGTTCCAGGAGCGGGGACGAGCCTACATATACATAGACATGGACATGGACATGGACATACACATGCAGTTCTACACATACATATACATCCCGTCGCGCCGTTTTCCGTACGTGCGTTTTGCACAATTTCATCATCATCAGGTCCACTTAAAGTTTATTTCGTGTGTATTTCGTGTGGGAAAAATAAAGTGTTTTTGTGCAGCATGCACAAAATGATGTGGAAATTGGCTTGTGTTTTTGAAAATAATCATATTTCGCTTGTGTTTTCATCCAATTTTGACCGAGAATTATGTGAAATTTAACATCGTTTGGAATAGGCTCTGCCCGCATAATATGTGTCATCGCATCAAAATAGGAAAGAGAAAACGTGGCCTGCGTGGCATATTCATCATCATTTTTGTCCAAAATTTGTCGAAATCAGTACGCATTTGGAGTGGTTTTATTTGGATTTTTCCTTCTCGCTGTGGTGCCGTACATGTTTTTTTTTAAATGTTGTTTTCCCAATGACACCCATCACAACACAGACTGCGCACTTTGTTTTCTTCTTCACTTTCGCAGCAAGTTGAGCTGGTTGATTGTCTTCGTGCGAATTAGAGTGTTGCGATTGACATACCTCCATTGGAACGCGCGCAAGTAAACCTCAATCAATTCTGATTGGCTTCCTAGCTGTTTTGGAATGAATGCTTTGCACCCAGTCCACACTTGGTCAATTGTTCCGGTATGTGCTTGAATGACTTCTCGTCCTCGTCTCAGTTCACCAGTAAACTGGCCAGCTAAATGTACTAGAAGGAAAAGTATCATATAGAGACAGACGCCAAGAACGTTATTACACCCCCCACCCCCCCTCAAACCCATTTCAGAAGAGTATGTGCAGAGACGTTCACAGACGTGTGATAGCGTAGCATCCAAAGCGTGCCAGCAAGTACGTTGAGACGGTGCTAGCGTAGAATGCCGTCATAGAAGAAAGACGATCATCTAGAGACAGACGCCAAGAACGTTATTACACCCCCCACCCCCCCAAACCCATTTCAGAAGAGTATGTGCAGAGACGTTCACAGACGTGTGATAGCGTAGCATCCAAAGCGTGCCAGCAAGTACGTCAGACGGTGCTAGCGTATCATGCCGTCATAGCAGAAAGACGATCATCTAGAGACAGACGCCAAGAACGTTATTACACCCCCCACCCCCCAAACCCCCCCATATGAGAAACGTCAAAAACCTGCGTTTTACTCGTACGGTTTTCGGGGCGTAGGCACATATACATGTATATATATATATATGTGCATATTGCCAAATCACCATTACATCCCCCCATAAAATGCATGGTTTTAACATCCCCATGCTGTTGCATAAATACCCCATCTTAGTTACAGTAGTAGGATAGTGATAGTGCTGTGTTTCAAATGCAAATCTTGTTCAAGCCTTTTCATATGATGAAGGGGGCAGGTTTATACAAATTTTGGTGACATCGTTAACATTTGCGTAGCACCAGGTTGTATCTTTTGTGTGTTTAATATGTGTATACAAGGTGAGGCCCCCCAGTTATACGTTGGTTTACTAACCCATTAACTATAGTTACATACCCCATAAACACTAGTTGACCAAGTTGTTGGTCAATTTAGCTTCTAGAGGAACTTACCTTGTATACATATATAAATGAACACTTTGTGTATATATAGATATAGATATGCAAGTGTGTGTTTATAAACATATATATATAATCGAAAATAAATAGACATGCATGTGTATGTATACTCTGCTGTGTATAGTATATAGTATAGAACCTACATATACAACATGTATTGTATGCTACATAATGTGCACTACATTTAAATACATACCACATAAAATGTATCATATTCGTTTGAATATGATTTATTGTGTAACACAGTTCTCCACCCCCAAGATATCCTCTATCTAGACAACTACCGGCCGCCACACCGCCTGCGGCTGCGTGGGCACCGGCTGCACCGGCTGCACCGGCTGTATCGGCTTGGTTGTCCGCTCGGCCACGTACCTCGGAAGGGCCACGGAACTCGCTGCGTTGATGGTGACCCTTCCGAGTGATATTTTCGGGGCAAAAACGGTTACTGGCATTCAGGATCATTCAGGTATCCAAAATTCTGTGACCAGCAAACATGCACTTTGACTCAAGGCATGTGATTTCAACGGCTTTGACCAACAAGCATCACACTTTAAGCAACATAAATGGGAGGTTGAGCAACAGAACTAGTGTTTTAATTTTAACCAGCAACATTGTGATTTTACATGTTTTTTTCAACAAGGGCAGGGGGTTTACCAACAAAAGCGGAGGTTCAACATTGCTTCAACCAGGATGGGGGAAATCGTCCTGAAATGGCTGGGGTGGATCTCGTAGACGCCGTAGAGGCCGTAGACCGTTTCGGGCAATTCCAGATGAAAACAGCGACTGTAGCGCAGCTGATATTCGAAAATGCAGTGTTACATGTCCAAATTACCTAATAACGTAAAAGTACGTTTTAAAAAAAAATGTTGAAATATATGTCAAACTACATGTCACAGCCTCTGTAGGGATATGTCGAGCCCTTGTCAATACATAGGTCAAAAATATGGTCAAACTACATGTCAAAACATTCTTCGGAAATGTCTTTCCATGTGTCATAACACAGTTCAAGCTGCATCGCAAAAGATAAGTCAATGTTTTTGTTCGCATCCATGTCAGAATACATATCAGAACATGTGTACAATTAAATGTCTATGAATATCTCGATACAGCAGTCAAAAACGATATCAAAGCAAGCACATATCCTACACGAATC